CGTTGATAATGAGGAGTAAATTGTAATTCAATCTACCCCTTGTGGTCGTTTAAAGTTTTGGTGTTTAATTTAACGGATCAAAGGTAGTATGTGTTAATTAGATAACAAAAATTTTAACTGAAGATTGGCAATAGGGGTTCAATAGTCATTATACATGTTCCGTTAGGGTTTCAATGTTTAAGTTAACGGATAAAAGGTAACATATATGAGTAATGCTACAGTTACCGAAAAAAGTATATTAAATTCATGCACTGAGCAAACGTGATACCATCTATTTTTTTTAAAACACAATTCATAATTGATCAACAGTTATGATAGTGTCATGTCTATCGGTGCATGAATTCGGTATCCCTTTTTCGGTGACTTGTATCATTTTCCAACATAGATTAGTCGGATACCAAAAGCTCTAAAAAGTACATTGACGACAGGGGGTAGCTTGATATCTCATCACATATTTGAAGGGAAATATTTAATGGGATAAAATACAAAGGGTACATTACAGTAAAGTCCTTGTCTTTTTTTTTTTTAAATTATTTCACACAAGAAGGGCCAATGATTGTCTGAAGTCTCTTCACTTGTTGTCCCCATGAGATGCAGTAGCTTTATTCTTCAAAAGAATTTCACTCTAAAATTTGGTTAACAGAAAGAAGCAGCTAATTGACAGCTTAATTGGATTGTGACAAGATCTATTATTGTCTTCTAAGTTATATGGTACATGACATGAGCATAAAAACATGACATGAGCATAAAAATCTTCCAGCTTCGATACGATAGAATTTGAGGTGGGTCTGATTCTTCATCTAATAAGGTCTTGTTGAATAAAAAGATTACCCACTCTTATAAATTAGTAGGCTTGAACGTGCTTAGTCGGTGTGGGACTTCAACACTCTCCCTCACGGTCAAGCCCATATATTGGGCCATGCCTGTTATTGGAGGTAGTTGTCGGCTTTAACTCTTCATCCGCTGGTCAAGCATTCAGCTCAACCAAATCTAACTCTGATACCATAATAGAATTTGAGGTGGGTCTGACTCCTCACCCAATAAGACATTATTGAATGGAAAGATTACCCTCTCTTATAAACCAATAGGCTTGAGCGTGCCTAATCAGTGTGAGACTCTAACATGATCCTCCCTACAAGGATCACCAAAGAAGCCATGTAAAATGCTGCTCCTGCTCTAGTTATAAGCTACAACTTCTTATCTTCTCAGGATAGCATATCACCATAAGAAATTAACGAAGACCAGTATATATATATATTTTTTTTGGGTCAAGTTGGCATCTAGGAACCATGTGATAACTGGGGATCAATGCCCTGTTCATGTGCCCAAGCATCCCATTTGGATGTACTGAAATTTATTTCTTCACATGACATGTCTGTAGTCTATTTCTTCTTATTCACATAATCTAATACATTCCCCTCTGAAGATATTAAGGGTGCGTTTGGCTCCCTATTTTTATCCATATTCTCAATCCTATTCTTTAAATAATGTTTGGCACACTATTCCAGAAATATTACCCTATTTTTTTAATTACTTTTAGACCCCATAAGGTTATTAATTTCACTAAATGCCCCCTGAATTTTTTTTAAAAATTAACAAAAACCCCCCATCAACCCAACTTGTCAGATTCCGGCAACCACCGCCGGTGATAGCTGGAATCTGTACAACGGTCTAAATTCCGACCATAAATGGCCGGAATTACACCGATCTGGCCGTCAGCGACGGCCAAAGGAATGGCTGTCGTTGACCGAAAACGACTTGGCCGTCGTTTTGGCCTTTCCGGCCGTCGACGGCCATAACAGGCTGTAGATCTGGCCTTTTCCAGCCAGATCTGTGGTGGATCTGGCCGGAAAAGGCCATAATGATGCATTACGGCACAGATCTGATCGGTCTGTGCCGTAACAAAATTTTCCGGCCAGATTCCGGCGGTGGCGGCCGGAATCTGACACTGCAGGTGGTGGGGGTGTTTTTTTCATTTTATATAGTAGGGTCTTTAATTAAATTAGTAAACCTAAGGGCTTTTTCATAAATTTTTCAAATTTACCTCGTAATACTCTCCTATCCAACAATCCAATACTATCCTCAAAATCCTATCCAAAATACTACACCAAACGCACCCTAAGAGTTCAAAATTTGATGAGAGCTAGGAATTTTGTTGTATGCAATGGTATTGGTGGGTGTAAATGCAAGGATAAAATGGGATGTTTATCTCCTTGTTTTTAGGCAAATATAAACAGTAGTAGCTTTTGATTCACATGGTGGCCATTGAAACACCTGATCTGAGCTCAAATTTTCAAAAGGGTAGGGAATTAGAAAAGTAACAAATGAAACCCTTTTTCTCTTTATCCTTGATATACACATAGTTTCATTAAATTGGTAGCTACGCTAGGTTACAGATAATTAAGAAGAAATGCAGCAGAGTGGGTATTGGTAAATGGTAATGTCCTTGTGACAGCATATACTGCCATTATTGGGTTGGACTGCAAAGTCAACATCATCATTGGGTGGTGCTGCCTGCTTCCTCGTTTTTTGTGAACCCAAAAGACCTATTCTACAACTCCTACTACTACTACTACTACTTCTTCTCCCCTTTCTCTCAACAAACTATAAGTACTTTTCAATTGTAAGTGCTTTCTTTTCTCTCATTAAGCTGTGCAGAACACTGTGAGTGCAAGCTGGCTACCTTCTGGCCTGCTTGCTGCCTTTTGTCATTAATCGACAAATCCGTGACCCATCAGTTCTTTCCCTTTTTTTTTTTTTTTTGGAAAGAAAGAAGCCTAAAAGTGCTTCTTGTCTTTCTCTGTAGACCCTAATCTATGATGCTAACATGGGCTGGAATATTTGAGATGTACCTCCTGGTGGGCTAATCTAAAGTTAAAACAGTGAACCCATATTTTAGTCCAAGCCCAAAAAGCTTATTCTCAAGCTGCATTTAGGTTGTTACTAGCACTGTTATTATGTTGTAATAACATAAATGTAGCTTTAGTGGCTACATTTGACATGAATTGGAGTGAAATATTATCAAGTAGTATTCATGTTAATCTTCAACCATTTACTTAATATCCAAGTAATGAGTAATAATAATAATAGCCTTATAAAAGAAACGACATCCCAATGGCAGTGTGTTAGAACAATTAAGCATTGCAATCACTGAGAGGCAGCTGACAGATCATAAAAATAAAGAAGAACAGTAAAATGCTCTCGTTGAGAGTCGAACTCAAGACCTCCCGCTTACTAAACGGGTGCTCTAACCAACTGAGCTACGAGAGCTTCTTGATCCAATTTTTAATTATAATATTTTCTACAATAGTTAGCTAAGAAAGGCTCTCATCTCTATTTAGTCATTAATTAAAATAGAATAAATTAAACATTTTCAGATTAATAAATTTTATACCATTCAAAGAATAAATTTTTACACCCATTTTCCTTATTGCACAATCTTATTTTTATACATGTATAAATAAGGTTTTTAGAAAAAAAAATAAAAATAAAATAACAACAGTGTATCTCAAGTTTACTTCTAAATTTTCCACTTCAACTATAAAATAATACAATGTATTGCTTGAAAAGAAAGTTTAAAATATAGGTTTAACATGTATAATAACACTACTATTTGATTCCCCATTTGAGTATCTACAACTTAAAAGGGGTCCGTGACAGTGAGTTGCTGAACTAATCTCTGTCGAATATTAGTTGAGGTGTATGTAAATTGGCCTAGACATTTTGGTTATCAAAAATAAAATAAAATGTATAACAATTTTAAAATAAAAAGTAATTAAACTCACATGTCACAAAAATAAAGATATACTAAAGGAACATCCTCCATCCAAACCCAATAAAAGACAATGGAGTGATTTTATAAGTTACAACATTGGTTTCATAAGGAATGTAAGAAATTGACGAGTCTTGTGATGAAGAAAATAAATCACGAACATCATTAATAATTGTTAGGGCCAAAAATCGTCTTAGACTTGACGACGAAATAAACATGTCACGGCCTAAGACCTCAACCCAATCCCGATTGGACCTACGCTTAAAATCACCTTACGACCTACCCACTCTATGAGTTGGGCTATTCTATAAATTAATCTAAACTTGGTTTCAGTTCATTAGCCTGCAACAGTCTATAAATAGGAAATCAAAGTCCTATTCTATTTCCTCTTCTACTAAGAGTCAAAATCTTACTCAAACTATTAAACTTGATTTGATAAGGTCAAGAAATCATATGTCTTTCATGATAGGGATTATCTCCTAAAATAGGACTCAATGTCCTACTAAGATTCCAACCGCTTGGGTTCACTATAAAAACAGAGGTTTGCCATCTCATTAGGCATGCAATCTCTCATAGTCAATCTACACTACTCAAAACCATCTATTTGCTCCTAAAGTTCTTGCTCCCAAGAACCCGATGCCTTCGCCGTAGTCCCAGCCTCCGACAAGACTCCTGGTAATTATTCTTCTCCTTAATTCTTATTAAATAATATCTTTCAGTCTTACTGACTTGAGCGTCGGAGTGCCTACGGCAAACACCACCCCGGTGTTTTCCGGAAGCTTCACGCTTGACCTTTCATGTGTGTAGGTCCAACAAATTGTCAGTGGTCTCAACCTTACGGGATCAGACCCCATTTTCATGACGGTATATTTTTTGCATCTACAATAATCATACAAGTTCCAATCTGAAGGTCGTATCACTTTGTAATATCTGAAGTCTGAACCACTTCTAAAGCATTCAACTAAACTGAAAATTATAAAAACCTAATTAAGAAATATTATTCTATAAAATAAAATAGGCTTTAATATAAACTAAAACTAAAATTATATAACATAACACGTGTGGAAAAATTCCCCTAAAAGTATCCGACACGTGCTTTAACGACTTGGGCCAATAAATTTATCCGAGTGACGCAATCCTGAACCTCAAGTGGAAAGGGTAATCACGAAAATAAACAACAGTCCAGGGGCATTTTGGCAAAGGAACGTGTTCATAAACAACCTAGGCCCCCCCGTAACACAAGTTCGGTGGAGAGTCTGTGTTCCTCCTCTGCTTTCTCAACAATTTCTCCTATTTAGGGTTTTATATCTCTCACACTCTCTAATCAAAGGCCTGAATTTCAAATAATTTACGTAATTGCCACCGTAATTCGCTCGATTTAGCGAAATTTTTAATCTTTCTTGTTTAGAGATGGAGTCGAATTCGTGGAACCCTCGCCTCTCAACTTCCTCTTCTTCGTCACGACGCTACCAGAATCGATCTGGTGAGATGCAATCGCTTTTTGGTTTTGTTAGGAAACGGCGAGGTTTTGATGGTTTTTTTTTTTTTTTTTTGTTTAATTGAGATTATGTATTTGGTACAGATCTGTTTATCGGAGGAGGGTTTGATGAAACCGACGGTGATGATGAATTCGGAGGGTTGTATTTGTGTCCGTTTTGTGCTGAAGATTTCGACATTGTTGGACTTTGTTGCCACATCGATGAAGATCATCCTGTTGAAGCGAAAAATGGGGTATCAATCTCATTTATTTAATTTTTTTTTTTTTTTTTAAATTACAAAACTTTCTCTCGTTATAGGTAATAATGTAAAGTGGTGTATGTTGAAGCGTTTGGCATGAGTTGCTCGTTAGTTAGGTTTATTAAAACGTTATTAAATTTTATGAGTTTATAGTTTTTTAATTTATTTTTGTGTTGTTGGCTATGTATTTTAATAAATTTTTAGCTTATGAGTGATTGAAACTGTTGTTTGTGGTATCTAATTTAATGAAGGAGGGGCGGCTGTGGTCTGTTTGGCAGATGGGAAATAAATGTGATTATGTTTTTGTTGTTGTGGTGGGTGGATATCGGGTCTTAGATTAGTGGAAAAATGAGTTTGTTTTTGTCAACTTTAATTTTGACTTTGATGGGCAAGTTGTGATATTCTGTTTGGTTGTCTGTCACGATGGGTGCCTGAAATTCTGTAGTGGGGTTGTTTAGAAGTATTGGGCTACTTATCGCCGAATTTGTGGATCTTGTGCATAAATTCAACTCGTGATACCTACTTTTATGTGAGGGAGGAGTACATCGTCTGGAGCTGTTGCTTTTCCTGAAATCAAGTATTTTGATTAATATTATATTAATTGGATAAACTATGTTTTGAGATTATTTATTTTTTAATCAAATACTTTTATTTTGAAGTTCTTCATTTATAGGTTGACAGAAGTTGCTTAGAGATATCTGTAGGTATGCTCACAGTTCTAATTTTTGGATTTTCTTTTCTTGTAACTTCAGGTGTGCCCTGTTTGTGCAAAGAGGGTGGGAATGGATATTGTTAGCCATATTACCATGCAACATGGGAGTTTCTTTAAAATATCCTTCTTATGTTGTTGGCTTTCGCTACTTTTAATGTTTTCAATATTCTGTCTCTCGTTTTGGCTAATCTGTGTTAATTAATTGTGCTTGATCTGTACCTTTTTCAAGTATTTTACTGTGCCATAAAGGAACCAGACTATGGAGGAATCTAAGGCCTTCTCCTAGTGTTATCTTAAGAAATTGTTCGAGTCCATAATAACTCTGATCTACAACCTTTTATCCTGGAATTTGCCTATATTATAAATTCATTTGATTTCCTGTGATATCCCAAGTGTAGATTACTAATGCAATTGGACTTGTACTTGTAACTGTTAGTTGTTTGCCATGATTTATTGACTGTTATTCTGAAAAGTTAAAGCTCTTAATGCTATGGTGCTTATGTTTCTTCTTGTTTGTTCCCATTTGCTTTGTTTGGCCACAATGAGAATCTCTAGTCTTCCTTGACTCTAGATTACGTGCAGCGCAAAAGGAGATTGCGTAGGGGTTCATCTAATTCGACATTTTCTTTATTGAGAAAAGAATTGCGAGATGGAACTTTGCAATCTCTTCTTGGGGGATCTTCGTGTTTTGTTCCCCCCTCCAATTCAGAGCCTGATCCTTTGTTGTCATCATTTATATTCAATTCGCCTAATAAGGCTGATGAACCTGTTAATATGCAACCACTTCGTATGGTTGTACCAACCTCAGTAAAGGAAAGCTCAAATGAGAATTTTCAAGAAAGGTATGTCCATTTGCATTACTCTCTCTATATGATGTGAAATTGTTGTAAACTTAACTAATTAAACATATGTTGGATATGGTTTGTTTCTAAATTCAACCTATAGAATGATGGTGTGGGATGTTGATAGAAATTACTTGGGTGATCTTGAAAACACATTTGATGTGTTGTTGACTAGAATAAATTGAAATCATTGCCGATGCCATTATTATTGTGTACTGAGCCTTGAGAGTGTTTCCAAAGCGAACTTTTGTGGAAAATGGCATTTCCTGTCAAATTGTTATTTAGTGAGGGATGGGATCAATATATTTACATTAGATCTTCTATCTATTCTAACACTAGTTTATGGTGACAGAAACGTCCAACAGACGCAGCTATCAGACAAAGACCAAGAGGAGAAGGCCCGCAAGTCTGAGTTCGTCAGAGGACTTGTGCTGTCAACTATTTTTGATGACTACTTATAAGTTATGGGGGCATTCGGGAAATGATATGCTATTGTAATATTAGAACCAGCAGTTATGGCTGTTATGCATAAAGGGGAGGAAGAGGAATTTGACTTTTATGTTATAAGTGGTAATAGTTAGATCAGAGAAACTCTGTATCCGCATTATATGTAGATGTGCATAATGGAAAGATGGAAGTTTCATTCCACTTGTGTTGTTCTGCCTTTACTTTTCAGGATGCACTATTTTTATGAGACGGGTGTGGTTGAAAGGCTAATAAACATGAATAAACAGATGGTTTTTGAGGCTAAAATAGTTAGGTTGAGATGCTATAACACATTTGTTTGATTGACATGTGACGAGGAAGTTTTGGGTGGCACAGAAAATCTGCATTTTTCTTTACTCAAAAAATATAGTTGCCATCTCTTAATTGCCATAGTCTAAGAAAATTCTAGGCCGATAAAGAGAGAGTCCTTAAAAAAACCATTATTGAGTGATTTAATAATAAAAAAGTAACGAAATCTAATATGAATTTTTGAATGCAAGCCTTCAAAAGTATTTATCACTGAGAGTAAAAAGATTTATTCCATTATTAACTTTAAGTCATTGAGAGTGAAAAGATTTATTCTATTATTAACTTTAAAGTTTCAAAAAATTAATTAAGATGCACGCAAACTATTTAAACATCTGTTTAAAAAAAAAAAAAAAAAAAAAAAAGTTCTTAAAAGAAAGTATTGCCAGGATGGATTTTATTGATGTAGTACACAGCCCACCGATCAACATACAGTAATCGTAAAACTATCCTTCAAACACGAAAATTGATAGCCGATATAACCACACACCTAACGTCATGAGATTAAAACGACGAAAAAGAAAAAGTCCGACAAACCTTGCTTTTTGTAACGAAACATAATGTTATTGATAAGTAATGTTCGATATTAGAATCTTACAGCAACATGTAACAAAGCAACAACCATTAATAATCGAACCAAGTCTATAAGAAAGCTTTATAAAGGATCAAATTCTTGGTATGAGTTAGTACAAAGTATACATACAAACTGAGGAAGGCCTGTCTATATACAAAAACTTTTCATCGTTTGATAACCTTATTATAAAGTTATTCTCTGCCCACAAAAACCTAATCCAGATAATTCACATGATCAAAATCTAGCATGGATTATTATCAGAATGTTGTCTTTGATAGATATATCCATGTCCATTGCATCCATTTAGAACACGTTTCTCACATAAAACGTGTTCTCCTGCTTACCCCACTTCCACAAATACCAAAAACAGATCATTCTGAGGCAGCTCTTTTAACACAAGGAAAGAACCATAGTGAATATAGCAAACAGTGAGAATGCTTATGCTCCAGAAAGTATTTATACCAACAGTGTCCCTTTTTTTTGCTTTGTGGGCTTTGTTTTTTTTTTAATTTTTTTTGTTTTTTCCTTTTTTGTATAAAAACTTTTTTGAGTTTTTAAAGGGAAAACACCCTCACCTGAAGTAGGAGTTGTGGGATATAAAGAAAATGTAATCAGGATGCTTTACTTGTAAAAGCTTAAGCCAGTTGTCAGCAGCTCGCAACAGAGAATTTGCTTTCTGAGATTCATAAACTCCATTGCGGTTCCAGAATGGAACTTTGAACTTGTATGAAGCAAGCCCAAAAGTAGGCAATGGTAGCTTGAAGGACATGTCAACCCTGTGCACCCCGTTGGTAGTAACATTAGGGACGCACAATCCATCAGATCTCGTACCTGCGTCAAACAAAATGGCAGCATCATTACAACATTGAGGCAGAATACATACAAACATTGATACTCTTCCCTCATGTATGGCAAAGGAGAAAACTTACTTTGAAATGGTGTTGACAAGGAGTGGAAGGTCAGAAAGCAGGCATCAAGATTCTGTAATGTTGGACCCATAGGTATTCTATATATTGGATACCTAAATCAAGAATGACAAAACAACTCTTTCAGATTAAAATTCAAACTGAGCTGAAAAGAACAGTGACTTCATATAGCCAAAATGGGATGAGAAAAACATACCATGCCACAGATATCCAACTTGAAGGTAAGAGATCACAGCTCCTGTATGTCCTAAGTTCGGGAAATCCAGATGCAAGAACTGAAATCTGTAATATGCAAGTTAGTTATAGATTACATAATAATTAAAGTAAAAAAAAAAAAAAAAAGAGGGGAAAAGCTTAACATGTTAACATATCAAAATAATGCACTTGCCTTGTCAGCCAAAGGTTCACGACTAAATGGAGTATCGTGCTCCAAATATTCAAATATAAGCTTGCCAGGAGGGTTACAAATCTCACTTTCATCACTTGATGAACCCATCAAGGGTTTGTTTCTCAGCGAGAGCCTATTTAACTTCTGGCTATTTTCATCCGATGTATTCTGCTGGCTCCAACTCCCCTGAACAAAAGCATTAATTCGCCTCTCTACCCCAACGTCACTGCTACCATCACTACTTGTCTCCCTGGACGTATCAGCATCACTCTCCTCACCAGGCCTCCTGTCCAAAGATTGGATTAAAAGATTTTATTACAGATGATGCCTTAATTCACAGAATCTCCCCTATACGAGCATCCACCTTTAGTAATTCCATAAGCAAAAGATATCAAATTTTGTAAAAACAGTGCTGGGTTTCACCAATGATTATTAGGAAAAATATGCATTGGAACAGCAGAATATATATGTCACTGACTACATTTATGAAATTTGATGCCAAACATCACAGTTTACATAATTAAGCCCTAGACAACTAGCTGAGGTTATATATCCAATAAATCCAAGTAAAGTGATGAGCCAAATTCAATACATAACATGGTAATCTGGTGCTCCCCAGATACTACTTAAAAGAAAACGGGGAAAAAACGCACAGAATTTAAACAAAAACCTTTTCCTTTGCTCAATAGTTTTACATGACTTCCCTATTATGTAAATTTGATTAAAGTTCATTGTCAACAAGCATTTGAAATAACTAGAGCATAAATAATGATAGAAAGAAGTGAAAACATAAAATGCATAAGTATGATGGTTTCTTGGCAAGGAAGTAGCATAATCAAGTAAAGAGGTAAGTTTAAGCAATAATAAACATCTAAAACCTCTGTGCCACTAATTTATAATTCTCCATTTTTATCCAAACCATATCAAAACAAGATCAATCAGGAACAAACCAGGTAAGTAGAAACAATAGGATAATTGACTGGGACAATGGCTCACCTCAGCCTTGTGGAGGGTCTTGACGGATCTGTATAGAGTTGAATGGCAGACAGGTAAGGAACATAGTACTGCTTGACAGATTCATTCCCATCCAACAAAAGAGGAACACCTGCTCCATATGCACTCCATTCCTTAAAAGATTCCCATAAATCACCAAGCATGAAGTATGGACAAAATTCTGTTTCATGGTTTCTCCATCTCCTTAAAATAGTCTATAACAAATTCCCAATGTCAATAAATAAATAAATAAAATAACAAGACCACATAAAAGGTGATCCAAAGAAGAAAATATCATAATCCAAGTGCTCTTCTAGGGTCTCGCTTGAAAAAGCAAAAAAAAAGAATGTGGTTTTTTGTATCCTGATTCATATATACACTTAAATAACCATGGAAATTGTACACATTAATACCACACTTGGTGATAGCGAAGGGAATGGCAAAGAGAAAGAAGGAAAAATGACTTCTCATTCTTTCATACTTTTTGAGTCTTGTTTTAAGATTTTACAGATTTTTCTGCATTCCCTAATTCTTATGTACGACAAGGAAACAAAGTAAAAAACATAAATTTATTCTCTCCTTCAAGAGTTTTATTCTCTTTAACTTCTTCCATCCATTTCCTTTTTTGATTTCCTCTCCTTATTTCTACTCAACCAAACGGAAAAACCATTTATCTTTCCACCTCGTTTTCATGTCCTCCTATTTCTCTATAATTCCACTATGAATTAATACACTAATCCCTTCAATGGGCCCTAACAATAGTAGTTGAAAGATTAAATTTTACTTTAGTTCCAAAAATATCTACATTTTTCTTATGAATTGTATATAACCAAGCACCACTACCTGCTATAAGATTCAGCAAAATTCAATATAATTTCACTACAGAACCTAAATTACACACTCAAAAATTTCAAAGATTGACTTTTAAAATTCCCTGAGCAACCAAACAGAACCAAAACAATCCACTGCCACCAAAAAAAATAAATCAAAATCAAACACTAAAGTTTAAAAATGTCAAACTATTTCAATCACCTTAGGCAGATGCTGAGCTGGAACCTCGGGAGTGGTGTACTCCAAGAACCGATCCAAATTCGTCGATTCACTTAGACAATAAGGCGACGATTCACATTCATCATCTGGCCCCACCGTAACCGGCGCCACACTCAATTTCTGATGCTCACGTTCCTGCTCTAGTCTCCGTTCTTCTTCCTGTTGTTGCCGCAACTGCTGTTGTTGTTTGCGAATATGCGGAGGATTATAGAAGCGGTTCTCGCCTCGGCCACCGCGTCCGTTGGGATTCCCTCTGAAACCGGACATTATGGATAAAGGAAACGGTGTAGTATTCAAAGTGAGAGGGGGTTTATTATGCAAGGTTTTGAAGATCTAGGGTTTTAGAAGTGATTTATAGATTAATAAACTAATGTTTTAATTATTAAAATGAGGAATTGAGTGTTTTGAATTTGAAAGTTGAGATTTTTATGCGTGTGAAAGAGAAAGAAAGAGTGGTGGTTGATGAGATGAGTTTAAGTCCGACGAGAAGAGTCTAGAAGTCTGTATGTACACGTCTGCAGATTTTTTATGGCTATTATCTGAAACTTAGTTTTAAAGTATTTGAATTTGTTGATGTCAAACTTTTTTCATTTTGAATCAAAATATTTAATCGAAGGACTTTATATCCCTTTCAATAAAAAAGTGATGCCCAAGATGAAATTCAAACTTTTTAATGATATTATCAAATTTATATCTTTTTTTTTAATTAAAAAATAATATTAAAATGATGTCAATTTATTTGTGAAGAAAATTAAGAATTGTTTGACAAAGTAGAGTTGTGAGGTTGAATGAAGTGATTTTATAAATTCAATTGTAAAATTGTATTTATTTTTATATTTTTATTTTAACATTGATTTGTGAAGAAGAGTAATAAAGAATAAGATCAAGATTATGGGGTGTCTTCAAATTTTAAAGAAAAAGAATAAAGTAAATATATTTGCCGGGTTTTATCTTGAAATTGATAAAATTGTAAAGGTAATAACTAATGAGTTTGGAAAATCTCGTAGTAGCGAGAATGTGTTGTTGCATAATAAGTTTTACTGTATTAAATGATGTGGAGGAAAAAGAAGATATGAGATTGAAGAGATGAACCATAATAGAGCTTGCGTATGGACACATGCATTTTGGTCGGTTTTTGACCTTTTCTTAGGGTATGCCTTTAGTGTATTGTACATTTTTTCTTTATTTTAGATGAATTTATGACACCCTCCCCTCGCCAAAAAAAAAAAAAAAAAAAAAAAAAAGAAAAAAAATGATTGAAGAAATTAAAATCATGGTTAAAAGTTAAGGGATCTTGCGTTTGAGTGACTCCTTGCTTTAGACATACTGAGTAGAAGTCACGAAGAGTGGGATAAGTTCCGACCGTCCCTTCGGTAAGATGGGGCCATAACACCTCGATCTCCTAGGCCGCTTGCTGCTACTTTGTCCTCCATATCCTAATTTACCACAAATTTGAATAACTCTCTAGCTCACTCATTTCTTTTCTATGGTTGACTCTGGAAACCTAGCATAGGGCTGTCAGAACCCAGAGATAGCCTTAGCAGAGTCAACTTTCTTATCCATATCTAAAATTCCTATAAAGAAAATAAAGATAGGCTAAAGAAACAGGAACAAAACATCAACTTTCTTATCCTCAAATTATCTTTCAGTTGACACTATAAAAGCATCTCCATCCAAAATTTGACACGTTATATGAAGTTTGTAAACAAATGTCAACTGTACAAAACGACAATAGACAAATAAATTCTATCCAAACATCTGATTCTTCACGTGAAGGGCTCACCTTGGCAAACCTTCTTCACGTGAAGGCTTCATGACATAACCAACCATCACACCATTGTTGCCAACTATCTCCTTCAATTGTGAGACATTAAATGAGCCATGGAATGAACACCATAATATAAATATGAAGTAGTAATTTAAAGTATCGAAATTTCAGAGCATATCCTTGCATTTGACTCTTTTTTCTCAAAGAAATCACTTATGTTACATTGTTTCTTGTATATGTTAGATCTATAGATTATTAACCACACCTTCCTACAAATTTCCCTTAAAATAACTACTTTTTTATAGTTTTCAGTTTCTTAGATTGCATTTATAGCATACAACTTTTGAACCTAAAAATCAAGTAAAAAACATATGCTAATCATGAACAAGAACATCAAAAGGCTGAATCACTTTAGCCAACCTTTTCGTTCAACTTGCAAATGGTCATAGGCAACTCTTCTAGCTTGTTGATATAAAGGATGCTTGAACTATTAGACACACTTGCACTTTTGACACCTGAGAGAGAAGTAGAATCCAATTTCAGGAACCAATTTACCAAATACAGTAGCAGAAACAAGCAAACTTATCAAGCATTTTCTTTAACTAATAAGCATAATCTAGATGCTGAACACAGTATTAAGTCCCAAAGCATCGGAAGCAACTTACTTCAGCGTATTATTCCCCAACTAGTACTAATGGAACAATAAGTTGGTATGTAAGGAATTTTAGACAATACATTCATTTGCATTTTATGTAGACAAAAGACACCATCAAATAGAACCCAGCCTCACAGACAACAGCAAACAAGGCACCAGAATAGCCAGCAAAGAAACTACTTACCAAGGCCTTACGCTAGCAAAAAAAGAACAAACAGCTAGGAAAAAACTTGGCAAAAACCCAACAGCCCAAAATAAGAACCTATAGTAGGCAAGATTACCCAAAAAACCCACTATACCATTAAACAACATAGGGCAAGCATAGCAGCAAAAAAAAGCCAAACTCAAAATGACCACAGCACTCTAAAAACTTCCTTCTACTACCAAAAAAGGAACCCATAACATCCCAAGGCACACACGATAAAGGCACACCCAAAGAACACACACAACACAACATCGCTCCCAACCAACCAAAAACCAACTGAGAGGAAATCAAAGCCAAAGAGATCCTCTAGAGAAGCCCTCCCTAAAACCAAGTAGACACCATCTTTACTCTTTAACACCACTCCCCAAGAAAGAAGATAAAAGGGGAACTTCACAAAGAAACAAAATGCCAGCACACAAATCCCCAAAGCAACACCTACCAACAGACCCACACACCCAACAATTTCTTTCTGGGAATGGGAATGATAGACTGGATGAATGAATTAGGTGACTGCCGTACTAATAAGTGATGACTGACAAGTGACGAGTGACGATTAATCGAAGACTGATAAGAGATTGAGAGGCAGGAGAGAATGTTATATATCGGTTCAAGGGGGACAAATGAAGGAAATTGGTGGTTATCTTCCAAATCAACAACAAACCATCTATATACACATTGGTCTGCATAGATAATCTTCCCAACCTTGTCTACATTATACTGAGATGATATCAAGTTCACATCTCCCTTGAAATGTGGAGCAAGCAGCTCTGTAGTTAGAGATGGATGGTTCAAATCGTTTGAGTGTCACTTGTGTGGTGGAATATAAGCCATTAAGATATAGCAACAATCTTAAACTTAGAGTTTTACAACTACCAACAAAAGCCTTTTCGAGATGGAGATGGGTCAACAACCACTCACATCACACACACTTCATACAAGTTATATAGGGAGGAGCCCTACAATATTAAAGGTTGCTAAGTCGTGGCATGAACAAGCCGACATAGCATGGACATATCTTGACTCAATTTTTGATGCTCATGTTCCCGCTCTAGTCTCCGTTCTTCTTCCTGTTGTTATCACAACTGCTATTGTTGTTTTCGAATATGCGGAGGATTATAGAAGTGGTTCTCGCCTTGGCCACTGTGGTCATTGGGATTCCCTATGAAACCAGACATTATGGATGAAGACAAATGGTGTAGGACTGGCAGTGAGAAAGGGTTTATTATGCAAGGTTTTGAAGATCTAGGGTTTTAGCTAGAAGTAAGAAAATTAATAAATTAGTGTTTAATGTTTTAATTATTATAACAAGGAAGTGTTTGTTGAGAGCATTGAATTTGAAAGGTGAGATTTTTACGGGTGTGAAGATAAGGGAAGAGAAGTGTTTGATGAGATAAGTTAAAAATGAGACGAGAAGAGTCAAATAATTTTGTTTTTACACGCGTGTAGGATTTTTGGTGGCTATTGTCTATAATTCTGTCGCTTGATTACCTTGCTGTAGACGTCATTCAGATATCTGAATTCAAATTCAAATATATTCTTTTTAATATGTTTTTATAATCTTATATTAAATTATCAAATTTATATTATTTATTTTTCACTAATAAAGAACATTGAAATGATGTCAATTTGATTTGTTATGAGAATTTAAAGTTGTTTGACGGAGTAAAGTTGTGACGTTGAATGGGATGTTTTTATAAATTCAACTATAAAATTGTATTTATTTTTATAATTTTATCTTAATATTGATTTGTGAAGATGAGTAATAGAAAATAAGATTAAATATTATGATGTGTCTTAAAACTTTAAAGAAAAAAAATTAAGTAAATGTATTTGTAAAATTTAACATGTTTTATCTTGAAATTGATAGAATTGTAAAGGCAATAGCTGATGGGTTTGGAAAATCTTGTAGTGGAAAGAATGTGTTGTTGCATAATAGGTTTTTGCTTGTATTGGATGATGTGGGGGAAGAAGATGATATGAGATTGGAAAAATTAATCATAATTGAGCTTGTGGGCTCCTTTAATTTGAGCGGCTATGCCTATCTTTTTCTCATGCTTCTCCAAAAAGATGAGCATATCGATTTTAGTCAGTTCTTGACCTTCTCTTAGGGTATTCCCCTCGTATATTGTACATTTTTTTTCTTTTTTTTTTTTTATATAAATTTACCATTTCCAAATAATAATAAAAAAAAAAGAGTGGAGAAATTAAAATCATGGTTAAAGATGTGGTTAAAAGTCAAAGGATCTTGTGTTTGAGTAACTATTCGCTTTAGATGTGTAATAGATGTAATGGGGCAATTGGTATTTTCTTTGATTGAAGATTCTTTGATTCGTTTGACATGGATTGGACATGAAAAGGGTATAGGGCTTATGACATCAGAATATGTGGCAATGACTTCAACCTTCGGAAGTAAAGATGAGTTGACTTCTGCAATATGAGGTCACTTTGAGGTTCAAAGTGAGAGAGTACAAGGTGTTGGTGCAACTTCTCTAACTTTGTGATGTAGGAAAATATTGTTAACTGAGGATTTAATTTTGTTTATTTGATTTTCTTATTTATTTAGGGTTTTATATTCAGAATTTAAATAATTTTCTATTTTAGTTAGGAGTTGCTAAGCTAAAAATTTTGTTGTGCATGTCCATTGTTGAAATATGTGTTTAGCAGTTCAATGATTCAATTTCTTCCTAAATTAGAGGAGTTGAAGGTTGAAGATTGTCTTACCATTGAAGAAATCATTCATGAGGGCAAGAATTGATTCTTGTTGCAACACACTCCCCAATTTGAAGAAGTTAACTTTTTATTATCTGCCCAAGTTAGTTAACATTCAGACGAGTTCTTAT